GGGGGGGGGGGGGGTCATCCAGTTCATGGTGGCAGGCTGCCATCTCTCCCTCCCTCCAACCTACAGCTCCACATACACTGACATGTTTACACCCCCTCCTCCCTCTGTGTTTCCAATGGGTTTTATTGGTCAGACGGGGTTTAATTTGTCTGGGTTTCTGTTGCTGAAAACGGGAGGATCTAACCGGCGCTAACCGGGCGTGCGGCTGTGAAAAATGTAGGCCGCGGTTGAAAAAAAGGTCACTGGATTTATCCGTGGTCGTTAGCCCGTTCCAGCAGAGATCAGAAGAAACGGGGTCTGATTTAAACCCGGCTAAATAACGACCATCCTGTCGGGGTTTTGGGTGGAAAAGTGGGCAGGAGGAAACTCTCATTTGCATTATTATGTGTTATGTTATTAATTAGTATTATGATTTTGTGTTGTTTTGTCTTCCTGCCTAAAGGACGACAGACAGATGCGAATTAGCAACTATGCTAGAATCTGGCTCATTTACAATCTGTATGAGATTGTTCATTAATGTGCACTGTCCTGATTAAATAAATAAATAAATATTGTTGTGCAGCATAAACACAATTAAGGGTCAAAAGCAGCAGAGTCCTGGAGCTAGCCGGGGGTTGGTTAGCCTCTCCGATAAAGCTCCAGAGGTTTAGGGCCAACGGTTCTGCACAAAAGGAGCTAATACGCCGTGATAAATGGGTTTAGCTAACAGAGGGACGGAGCCAGCATAAAGAGTCCCAGAGGAGCTGGAGGGAGCTTTAGCTGAGGCATTTTTTAGGTTGTTTGCTCATTCGATGCCCCTTTTTTTGGCCTGTTGGGACCAACAGCCTCCTCTGGTCACTCTGCAGCCTCCACAGGAGGCACAGAGTCGCTCATATCAGCTCTAAAACGCATTAATCTGCTCTCTAAGTTAACTATTTGTGAATGAAAGCTGGATATTTTCTCTTAATTACTCCCAGGAGCTCTTATCCATTTATGACATGTAAGAGATAAACTGTCTTTTCCACCCAGCATAGACACTTCTGAGCTTTTTTTAATCCAGTTTGGACTTTAGACTGTGGTCTGTTTGCATCCTGCCCAGCTGAACCTATCCCTTTATCCTATTTTTATTTTGTTTACTTTCTCTATGATGAGTAAATCTGATGAATTAGTCATTAAAATAAACCCCCTTCAGTGATCAGTGTAACACCTGTTTGCTACAGGTCTGATTTAATCACACTTGGAGAATAAACAGCATAAAGTCATTAACAATTTCATCTTACTTGGCCATTGATCATCACCCGTGAGGATAAATGTGCCTCTAAACACATTTATTAAACCAATTATATCCGTGTTTGTTTGTTAAAAAGCATTGCTCTGCAGCGATATGGAGTTATTGATATTTAATTATCTTTTTCCTGTGGATTTTCCTCTGGACAGAAATGCTGAAATGGTTAAATTCTCTGTAAACCTTTCTATTATTTTTAAAGAAACAACTTTTAGAGGCGAAAGGACATGATTTTAGGACCTTTTAGCTCTTTTTTAAACACGGAAATGTGACAGTTTCTCATCAGAGACTTTGAACATCCTCATCGATCTGTTCTGCATTTGTGTATTTATCAAAAGTCAGCTTCTTTTTTTGTTTGTTTTTCTTGTTTTTTGCCACACACTTAATGTTTAAACTGTTTCTAAATCTCAGCTTTCCGCAGCTGTTTGTAGCCACATGCTTCTCTTCTCACAGCTGGTGGAGATCTGCTCTCTTTCTGGATGGACGTCAGGGAATAAAGCAGAAAACCGTTTTCAGATTTCAGAGGCTGAAACCATTCGGTCAGCTGAGGATTCCCTCCACATCTGTTTCCAGAGGGCTGGCATCAATAAATGAATGATGCGTCTACCTATCGACCTTTAGAAATAAAGCAGATGTGCTCATGATGTGATTACTGACTGTTTGCTTGAAATGGTCTCACCAGGAAGTATTTTTTGCCACCGTAAAACTGAGGGGAAACAAAACAAGAAGAACAAAACAAACACAAAACATTTGAAATTATGGATATAAAGTCATTTAGTTTATTTTCCTCAATTGTTGTTTTTTTAAACAAATTCTATTTTCTAAAATTTTTATTTTTTATTTATTTATCAGTCCACTTTTTCTTCTTCCACTTCTGCTACACTTTACATCCTTTTTTCCACATATTTACTAATTTGGACAATATAAAAATATTAAAAACAGGCCAATATATAGTGCGTCCTTAAACGATGATGTAAATATTTTTTAATAATGTCCAACCATATTTTTAGATTTTTATTAAAAATTTTTAAAGAATTTAGTAAATTTCTGGTCACTTTTTATTTAAAAAAACAAACAGAAAAAACATGATAAACAACTTGAATTGGGACCGGAAATAAAACTTCTACTTGCTGTAATTCTTCTGAACCACGAGCGTTTTAATCCGGTGTGTTTTCGTGGGTTTATCCCCGAGAGATTCGTGATGTCACGTAGCGCACGCGTCACGGGGCGCGCGCGCGCTGCCGGCCCACGCGCACGGAACACGGGCCTCTGGATGACGTCACCGCCCCGGTGGCCCCCTGCCATATTTATTCATGCCGGGCAAGATGGCGGCGTTACGGTCGGGGTGTTATTGCCAGTGGACATAAAAAAAGGCAATTTATTCAAAATTCAAAACGGAGTCAGACATTTGTAAAGACCTGACCGTGTTTTGTGTGTGTTCAGCACGTAACACGAGTCGAGATTTTTTTTTTATCTTACAAGTTTGACGATTTTTTTTTTAACTAAAATGTTCACGTTGTGAGTCGCCCGCTAACCGCTGGCTAACAGAGAGCAGTTGCAGCTAGCTAGCTAGCTACCACAGCCAAACCAAGCCGCCTTCAAGTGGAGGATGGGAGAAAAGCTGGAGCTCAAGCTCAAGTCGCCGGTTGGAGCAGAACCCGCTGGGTATCCGTGGCCGTTACCAGTATACGTGAGTGTTAAACTTCCGAAGTCAATTCGGCCAGATTTAGGCTCAGTCTTTTGTTTTTGTCTTTGTTAGCTAGGTTAGCTTCGGGGCTAGCTCCGGCTGGCTAAGAGCTAGCAATGGCAACTCTCGCCCGGGGACTCCGGTCACGCCGGTCTGAGAGGTGACAGCCGCTGTCTAAACAGCCAATAAACACGACTTAATAGATCGTTTAATTGTTTTCCTCACATTATTTCACGTATATCTACCAATGTATGGGCTAACGGATCACTTTACGGCTGTTTTGATGACAGTAGTAGTAGTTGTAATACCAACACCGACTCTGTAATAACGATATTACGACTATTTCTGGAAAGGTGATTTAATCTAAACCGGCTCTGTTTTTGTCAGGGTGTGTAGTCGGTCCTTCAGGTTTCTACCCGGAGATGCTAATGTTTATTCTTAAAACACGGTGTGGTCTTTGAGCTCCCATCCACCATGTGGCTTTTTCTAAACAATCGCACGAGGATCTCGTCGGCACGCTCACGAGACGCTGTGATGTGAAAAGCGATGCTTTTTTGGGGGAAGCCGGAGCGTGTCACCCCTCATTTTGGGGGGGTGGGGGGGTGGTACACTGCGAGGTAATTGTGTCAGTGGGTTACAACAAATGGACCCGTCCACTAAGAGACCGGGGAGGCTTCTCCCTCCCTTTAACGGAGCCTAAATCCACTCAATATGGACGATAACCATTTGCATACTCTCCCTTTTCTGTGTCACTCATATTTGAATGGCTGTTTGGCATTCCTGGAGTTCCTTCCGCGTTTTCCTGCCTTAACAACAGCTCCCTGAGGGAGAGCAGCTCCCCGGTTTGTGCACACAGTGGCTCAGACCCACAGCTTGCCTAGAAAGAAAGTAGTTTTTTTAGTTTTTTTTTATCTTAGCTGCATGTCTGTGTAAATGTCAGCGTGTCAGAGGCTGATAAGGGTTGACTCATCCAATAGAAACACGGAAAGGGAAGCGACTGCGAGCTCTGTGGTCTCCACAATGGCGCGTAGTTAGTCTGAACTCATTTATAGTAATTGCGGTGAGACTGACTACGCCGCGTTTCTCAGAAAGTCTGAGTTCAGCCTCTTTGTAGTTTCCCTCTCTGCTCCCTTTTCTCGTCTATCTCGTTCTTTCAGTTCCATCTTTCGTCTCTTTATTTCGATATCACAACACCAGCCGAGAGCTTCTCCACTAACCCAGTCGCTTACAGTCCTCCCTCTTGATTTATTGACCTCCTCGGTTTTTCACCTCATGGTGTTTAAGGATGAGCAGGAGGAGAAGAATGTGAGGAATTCGATATTCTCCCGACCTGCAGAGTGGCTCAGACTCGCTGTCACGTATTGAATTAGAAGCAGCTGATGCATGTAGAGTTCAGAGGAAAGGCTTTTTCCTCTTATCCCTCCTCTCCGGTCCATATGGCCTGCTCTGCGGGGGGGTGGTATGAGGCTCTCTCTGCCCAGCTATGCTATATTAATAGAATTCAGATACATGTGCCTTTAATAAAGCTGTTTTTAGCCCATGCTTATGCTCCACTTTTGCTCTTGTTGAACAGCTTAGTTGTAAGAGAAGATCTCACCCAACATGGGTTAGTTTCTGCTTTCCACTGAGGTCGGTTATCACACCCACAGAGCACCAACACACTGTGTGTGTGTGTGTGTGTATGTGTGTGTGTATATGTGTGTGTTACCAAGCCTGGCAGAATGCGCTCGCTTTTGGGGTCACTGACCTGTTTCCCCGTTTGTTTAATGTTGTGTTTCACATCTGTAAGTGCTTCCACATGAAGTCCAGCTCTGGAGTGGAGCAGCTTTTTCTCCATCTGGTTTTTGGGTGTGGGCACCAACAAGTCATGCAAAGGCTGGAAAAAGACACCACTGCTCAGGCTCTGTTGACTTTCCAGCATTCGGTTTGATCCTCAGCGGTGAGATAAAATCACTAGGTGATTTTTTACTGTGAAACTAGTGTCTTGTTTTGCTCTCAAATCTGGACCAATCGTGTAGAGATCCACTGCCCTGAGCACCGGCTAAATATCGTGTTTTACATACCGATGTGCTGTTAGTAGGGTTGTCAAAAGTATTGATACTCAAGAAAGTATTGATACTAAAACGTTGTATCCGGATTTATTTCCGTTGTTTATGATCATTAACGTGACGTTAGCCTTGAATTGCTAGCTGCGGCTAATGGCTAATAATAACACGCCAACATGAATCAAGTCTGCAGGAAGCCAAGGATGGATATCCAACTCCCCCATATCCAAGTCGGCCATTTTGATTAGGTCACCAATAGGAAGATCCCAGGCAAGAAAATCCTAATTGCTTCATGGCAATATAGACATTAATTTAAAAATAGTGAAATGAATCTTGCAGAGACTGAATTCAACTCTATACATAATATTATGTTAAAATAGTGGATGTTTTATACGTTTGTACAATAAGTCCAAACAAGTTTAACCAAAAAAATATGTATGTCTCACAATTATGAAGGGTGGAGGATTAGGGTCAGGGTTAGGTTTAAGGTCAGGGTTAGGGTTAGGATTAGGGTTAGGGTCATTAATGTGGGCCACCATAACATCAGTAACAGGTCAGTTTGAAACCAAAGACAGTAACCTGTCAAAATTCAGCTAATATTTGGGGTCTTTGTTTTTATCCTTGTGGTATCGAAAATGGTATCGAGTATCAAATATTTTCCTGAGTATCGGTATCCAGTTGAACATTTTAATATCGTTACAACCCTGTTAGTGATCCACCAAAAGAGTGAGCTGGGTTTGATCTAGACTGGTTAAACTGGTGTCTGAGGAGGTTCTCTCTGGGCTTTTTAGTCTTTCTGGCTCAGTCAGACTGTGGTTATTTTTAGCCGCTGGTGTTGCTGTGTGCCGTCTTTGTGCGGGCAGGTGACCCCCCCCCCCCCCCACCCCCCCCCAAACCCCCCCCCCCCCTCCACCGGGGGGCCGCATACCTCTCATGGCTCTGCTAAACCTCCCGAGCCTGCGCGTCTTCCCCGGCTTTCTGGGTCCGGGTTGAGAGGAGGAGATTTCCTGCGTCGCCATGCAGATTTCCGCGCACGTTTTCTAGCTTCGGCGGAAGTTTGTGCATTATTGCGCGCAAAGCCGGGAGCTGCTAGCTCTGTGAGCTTTTTAGCTCTGTGAGCTCTGCCAGGCCTCAGTAAGCTGATAAATAACCGGCTTTCCCTCCTCCTCCAGGCCCCCAACTCCCCCCGCTGTTTGCCGTTTTTATAGCTTTCACTTCTGTCCTTTTCTCTTTTTTTGTTTCGCTTTTATACTCTCTTCTTATACGTTTATTCTTTCTTTCTCGTTGCTCCTTTTCTGGGTCTGAACCAGGCCCTTCTTGGCAACGCGCTACAGCAGGATGCAGAAAGTGGGTCAGTGGGTCAGCGCTAAAGCTAGCTGCGCTCTGCTTGAAATCTGAGCCCTGTTTCTCCCCGCTCAGATCAGATTACCAGCTATGGATTCCACGCAGTAAAAAAAAAAGAGAAGCAGCTAGTTTGACGTATTATTAAGTTTAAGTCAAGATGACGGAGCTGATATGAGCCCTGTTAAATTATGATTTGGGAAAATTAATTGAGCTGAAAGAGGCAACTCTGGTTCTCCCGGTGGGTAAACACCAGTGTGTTCGGGCATAAAACTGAGCTGTGACTCGGTCCATTTTAGAGGACCAGCAATCAGTACAAAGAGCTGATCAAAATAAGGATTATCATAAATGAATTTTCTAAAAAAAAAGGGAGTTTCTTACTTGTGTTACGTTCTTCTTGTCTTCAACAGTGTTAGTCATGCTTGAGGGAGTGTCTTTGTGAGTTGCATCACTGTTGTTATTGTTGTTATTGTTGTCGTTATTATTAAGTTTAATTCAAGATGACGGGGCTGATACGAGTCCTGTTAAATTATGATTTGGGCAAATGAATTAAGTTGAAAGAGGCAGCTCCGGTTCTCCCGGTGGGTAAACACCCGAGTGTTCGGGCATAAAACCGAGCTGTGGATCGGTCCATTTTAGAGGACCAGCATTCAGTACACAGAGCTAGATCAGAGAGCCACAGAAACCAGGAAAATGTGTTCAAGTCTGGTCACGGAGAGCTGATTAAAATAAGGATTATCATAAATGAACTTTAAAAAAAGGGAGTTTCTTTTTGAGTTACATCGCCGTTGTTATTGTTGTTGTTGTTATTATTAAGTTTAATTTGAGATGACGGGCTGATACGAGCCCTGTTAAATGATTATTTGGACAAATTAATTGAGCTGAAAGAGGCAGCTCCGGTTCTCCCGGTGGAGCTGGGAGCTGATCAAAATAAGGATAATCAGAAATGAACTTTTATAAAAAATGGGGGAGTTTCTTTGTGTGTTGCATCGCTGTTCAAAAAGTTACGTAATCTACCAGGTTACTGAACCAGATGTGATTCAGTAACCTGGAATCGAAAGTGTGGACTCGTGTGGCCTTTTACTTCCTGACTTTTCAAAGTGCTCAGGAGAGGCTGTGATTAATGAGTCGTGCCTAATCTTTTATTTCCACCTCCCTCTGCTTTCAGGATAAACACCATGATGCTGCTCATGAAATCATCGAGACCATTCGGTGAGCCACCCGCCCTTTTTTTTGTCCTCCCACATCCATGAGACTGTTTCAGCGTTCTGACTTAGTGATGACTTTGTGTGCTTTTGGCAGGTGGGTGTGTGAGGAAATCCCAGACCTCAAACTGGCAATGGAAAACTATGTTCTCATTGATTATGACACCAAAAGGTGGGTTTCACACGCTCATAAGTGAGTTTTTTAATGTTTTTGAATCAGAGTCTTCTTGTGGCAGCAATTTCGGGGCTAATTAACACATGTGGAATATCAGTTTCTCTCAATTTAATTTGTAAAATGAGTTTATGATGTCTCATAATGCGAATAAAACACGTACAATTCTCAGATATTGCTGTTGTAGTAGCTTCTGCGTTAGTTTTCCCAGTTTAAGCTGAAAGGGAATCATAAGAATGATCTGATTTCTAACTTCTTCCTGCCTGGATGTTGTGTTTACAGCTTTGAGAGTATGCAGAGACTTTGTGACAAGTACAACAGGGCCATTGACAGCATCCACCAGCTGGTGAGTCCACGTGTTTGTAATGGTCTGTAGGTGAAATGGTAGTAAAATATTCTTTAACTCATTGACTGCCAGCCATTTTCAGAACAGAGAGTCCCATACTGCCAGAGGTCTTTGAGCATTTTGACTGATTTTTCAAGAGCCACAGAATAGTTTGTGCTATGACTATGTAAACGCCAAACACACCAAAAGAAAGAGTAGACTCTCTTCTTTCATCAGGAAAAACCATTGCGTTTTTTTTTTTATTTGCCTACAATCTATGCTAATCTCCCATCAAAAGTGGCACTGCCCCCTAGAGGGTCAATTTGTTACTACATACTCTGTCTAGAAGCCGATATTTACGGAAAATCTTTAGCAGATCGTCCCCCAAGCCACTCGCGTTGAAAAACATAAAAGACGTCTATAGACGTCTTTGGCAGCGAATGAGTTAATTTATCAACCTCCAGAGAGGCATAATTGTTTAGATTTAGTATTTATTTTGCCATTAGTCTCCATTTTGTCGTTTATATTTACCATTCTCCATTCACAGATGAATAACTGTTAATCTTTTAATGAACAAGTCCATGTCTGAAACCACTGTGCCTCCATTTTCCCTTTAAAAAAACTCTATTTTAACTGATTTTAATTCCCCTCCAGTGGAAAGGCACCACCCAGCCCATGAAGCTAAACAAGCGTCCCTCCAACGGGCTGCTGAGACACATCCTGCAGCAGGTGTACAACCACTCAGTGACCGACCCCGAGAAGCTCAACAACTACGAGCCCTTTTCCCCCGAGGTCTACGGAGAGACGTCCTTCGACCTGGTGGCTCAGATCATCGACGAGATGGAGATGATGGAGGAGGACACGTTTGTTGACCTTGGGAGTGGTTAGTGCCACAATGAGTGAATCCAGCCGGCCCTTTCCTCTCACTTTTGCTCGGTCGGTGGTTAAAAAAAAAGTGAGAAGAGGACGGGAAACGAGGGTTTTTCTTCTGTTTTGTTTTTGCAGGGGTGGGCCAGGTGGTGCTGCAAGTTGCCGCGGCAACCAACTGTAAACACTACTACGGAGTAGAGAAAGCAGACATTCCAGCCACCTATGCAGAGGTAATCTCACATAACAGAGATAAATGCATTTAGAAAAGCATCTTCCTATCCGATCCCGGCCTATCAGAGCATGCGTTAAAGTTTAAAGTGTTTTATCTACTTACTTAGTTGTCAGACTCCTGTTGAACAGGGATTTACTTCGATAACAACTTATTGGTTAGGACACAGACCTGTGGGTTAGCAGATGCTAATGCTAATGTTGGATCGGACTTTTTAAAAAGAATGGATCTGGAGTCTCGGATCGAGATCAGCTTAGTTCAGGAATCATACAAATTATTCTGTTCTTAATTAGTGGTTAATTAGTGGCCGTTTTTGGCTGTACATTGTCTGAGCGGGGTATAAAAATGCCATTACTCTTTTTATTTTTCCTCAACCTGTGATTTAATATTTCCCAAAACATATTTTTATATATATTTATGTATATATACATTAGATTTTTATGATGTCCCAGAAAACCTCCATAAACATGGAGTTTTTCCATGTTTAAAGTTAAGTTTATAGCTACTGTGAGCTGTGAGAAACACACTTAGTGAGGCAGAAAGTGCCTCCGCTGTGTTGCGTTGTGTGTTTCATCACTCTGATTTTGAGTAATGAAGCAGTCAGAGATAAGAAGATGCTGCCTAAAATCTATTTTTACTCCGGTTTACTTTTGTAGGTTCTGTGTTTGGCTTAGATCCGCTCTAAAACACACGATCTGGGCCTCAGCCTTTAATGAATGAGTTGTAAACCCAGGCGGAGACTCTCAGAAACACTGAGGTGAAATCGGGTGCATTTCTCTGCTAAATTAATAAAAAAAACACCCCCTTTTTTCTGTTTCAGACCATGGATAAAGAGTTTAAAAAATGGATGAAGTGGTATGGAAAGAAACATGGGGAGTACACAGTAAGTCAACTCTTTGGAAAGAGTAGATTTTTATGTTATTCTGGAAGTATTCGGGTTTTTTACTACAGCTTTTTTTCCCAGCTGGAGAGAGGGGATTTCCTGTCAGAAGAATGGAAAGAAAGGATCGCCAACACAAGGTGGGGCTTGAAACTTGGTCTTAGTGACCATTGCAGAGACCCTGTTCAGTGTTGTGTAATGGAGCTATTTATGGGTCATAGAAATCCACTGAGGGAGCTACTAAAATAGAGACACTTACTTTGTAATTCAGTCTGATCCAGATGTTAGGGAAACGTAATGAATAATTCACCCTGTTAGAAATACTCATTTGCTCTGCTTTTGATTTGTTTGAGCACAATTTTCTTCTTGACGTGATGCTGTGGGTCTTCAGAACTGATTAAAGTGGATTATTTGGAGGCATGTGTATTAGCAGATATTTAACCTGCCTTTTCTCTGTGTGATTTCAGAATGTGCCTGATGGAGATGCTCTGAATGCCTAATAACTGTCCTCCTCTGTCTGTTTTCCAGTATTATTTTTGTGAATAACTTTGCCTTTGGTCCAGAGGTAGATCACCAGCTGAAGGAGCGCTTCGCTAACATGAAGGAAGGTCTGTCACCTTTCGGCTAAACTGAATCTGTTGTAATCATCACCTGATCCAGGACTTTGCTCTTTACGGCCTCAGTTCGTTAAAGCCCAACTTATTCAGTCCTGAATCCTGAATGTCGCATCTCTGACCATGAAAACCTGGCGTCCAAATATATCTCCTTCTCAGTTCTAGGTTATAAAAAACAGCAATTCTCAGATAAGTGGGTAGGTGATGCTGGAGGTCAGTTTTTGTATTAGATGGTCCAGCTCTTTAGCTATAATTAGTATGCTTTATTGTATGTTTACTGTCTAGTTAGCTACACAGATTGGAGCTGGCCTTCTTTAATAACTCAGTAAACCGAGATTATAAACTCAGTTCTGTTAGTTCAGTTTTAATTATTAATTTAGTTTTAAAACAGTTTCAGCGGAATTATTGGTTTTAATGAGATTAGACTAATTAAAGATAAGCAGTCCAATTAAATATGTGTACATGCAATAGAAAAATAAATTATATTGAATCTTATATATTCCATTATATTCACGTTCACTGAAGACTTCCCAGTTAAAGTTGCTGAACCCTCTCAGTTCATTCACCTCTCTGAACAGCCTCCTTTTCCCCCATTTTGCTGTTTTACTTTAACGAAGAAACGTGTCCATTATGTGTGCTTTTTCTCCCCAGGAGGGAAAATCGTGTCCTCCAAACCTTTTGCACCTTTAAATTTTCGAATCAACAGTCGAAACTTGAGTGGTAAGCGTCTGGGCTCTTTGCAGAGCAGATTTTCTGGGCTGTGGCTTCCTCTGTGCTGTGTGACACTGATTTCTATGCTGCAGATATTGGCACAATAATGCGTGTGGTGGAGCTCTCTCCACTGAGGGGCTCAGTATCCTGGACTGGAAAGCCCGTTTCCTACTACTTGCATACCATAGACCGCACCATAGTAAGAGCTTGTTATTATTGCTATAAAAGTTCACATCCTATAAATTCCTCCAGAGGAAATCTTAACCACTAAGATTACTGAATCAGTACAAATAGATTACACACCGAAGACAAACAATGGACTAAGTGTAAGCTGCCTGCTGTGATAATAACAGTTGGTATTGCTTTAATGAGAAGTTAGTCGTGAGAAAGAGCAGTCTGAGGACGCGGGCTTTCACAAGCTGGCACAAACAGTTAGATAACCCTGATATATCTCATTCTGTAACTGGTTAAATCAGTCAGGACGCTGGCAAGCTGAAAGGAGAAACTTGTGACATTTTCATTTGGTTGAAATTCTTCTTATACAACCCTGGATATTTTTGGTTTTGCTGTTTTTATCAAACTGTATTATTTTTTACACATGAATCGTATTTAAAGCGTTTTTTTTTCTTTTTTTTGTCATTTTCTTTATCGTTTTTTTATTTTGAAATGAACAACCAATCAACATGAAGACTTAAAGACAAATACTGAAAATATTAAAGAAAAAGTTATTCAAATATAATTCAATTTTCCACTTTTCAGTTTATTTTCTTTTTTGTGCTCTAAGATTGAAACAAATTATTTCCATTATAAAGATGCTCACACAATATCAATCAATTCATCCACACAATGTTATTTAAGTTGTTTTACATCCCAAGATGCTTTATCACAGTTCAAATTAAATACAGTAGAAGTTGCATTAATCTTAATCTAATAGGTTCTTTCCTGTTCTTGTTTTCAGCTTGAAAACTACTTTGCTAGTCTCAAAAATCCTAAACTCAGGGTAAGTGACAATCTTCCCCAAAAGAGTCGTATCATCGTCTCTGTTTTCTGTTTTTTCTGTACAAATCTGAATTATTTATTTCTGCATTAGGAGGAGCAAGAGGCAGCTAGGCGGCGCCAGCAGAAGGACACCAAGGACAGTAAAAGCAATAACACCACTCCCACAAAGCCCAAGGAGCAACACAAGGTTGGTTTGACAGGGTTTCACCATTTCCAATTCAATTCAATTTAAATCTATTTTATTTATATAGCTCCCAGCTTTCCAAACAGCGCAGCTCAGACTCTGAAGTTATTTATAGAAGAACAACAGTTCCCACCAAGAGCAGCACTAGGAGACACAGGGAGGGAAAAACTGCCTTTTAACAGGCAGAAACCTGGAGCAGAACCATTTTTTGATTGAACCATGATTTTGATTTGTAATCAACTTTATTTTCTGTTCTTTTTCAAACAATCATCTGAACATAACATATTTAGACAACCTTACTCCTCAGAGTAAATAAATAAATGAATAAATAAATACTGCATTCATTAAAACACCAAACCTGCTGGAATGAGTCCAGATCTCCTGCTGCTTTGTAATAATTAAAATCAATAAGGAGTCTGGACCTCATCATATTTATACACACAGTGACAGGTTCAACAATAAAACCATCCTCCACCTTCCTCCTTCGGCTAAAATACACCGCCATCTTGGCCTGCCCTAAAACAAAGTTTAAAAGCTGGCAACAAAGAGAGAGAGAGAGGGCAACAGAGAGGGCATAAGAGGGAGAGAGAGAGGGAAAGGGAGAGATAGAGAGACTAATGATGATGATAGCAGTAATAACAGCAATAAGACCATAAACAGTGGCTGTAGTTTCCAGTTGTCCCTTCCACCTCTCTGGGGCTCTGGGTGACTGATAAGATAAGATAAGAGCTTTATTGATCTCACAATGGAGAAATTCACTGGTCACACATCGGTTAGAGTTCAAAAGGAGGAAAAGGTGCATAAAGTACAGCAAAAACAAACAAATATACAAAGAAGCAACACAGCGCAGAGATTTGGGTGACTAAAATATATACAATCATTGATGGCTCACACACAGTACACATATTACACAGGTCAATAAATATAATACAATTGCACAGCAGTTGTTAAAGTGCAGCGTTGTACAGTCTGGTGGCAGCAGGAACTGGGTAACTCTGGGTAACTCTGGATAACTCTGGATAACTCTGGGTAACTCTGGGTAACTCTGATTGACTCTGGATAACTCTGGGTAACTCTGGATAACTCTGGATAACTCTGGGTAACTCTGGATAACTCTGGGTGACTCTGGATAACTCTGGGTAACTCTGGGTGACTCTGGGTAACTCTGATTGACTCTGGATAACTCTGGGTAACTCTGGATAACTCTGGATAACTCTGGGTGACTGTAGGTAACTCTGGGTAACTCTGGATAACTCTGGATAACTCTAAGTGACTCTGGATAACTCTGGGTAACTCTGGGTAACTCTAAGTGACTCTGGATAACTCTGGGTAACTCTGATTGACTCTGGATAACTCTGGATAACTCTGGGTAACTCTGATTGACTCTGGATAACTCTGGGTAACTCTGGATAACTCTGGGTAACTCTGGATAACTCTGGATAACTCTGGGTAACTCTGGGTAACTCTGGGTAACTCTGGGTAACTCTGGGTGACTCTGGGTAACTCTGGATAACTCTGATTGACTCTGATTGGCTCTGATTGGCTCTGGGTAACTCTGATTGACTCTGGGTAACTCTGGGTGTCTCTGATTGGCTCTGCCCGTGTGCCTGCAGGACTCCTGTGGGGAGGAGGAGCGTCCCAGTCTGCTGGCGGTGGTGAAGCCCTCCGCTAAGCCGCGCAGAGCCCGGCTTCTGGCCAAAGGCCGCAAGCTGAACAACAAGAAGCGCGGCCGTCCCAAGAAGGCCGCCGCGCCCGCCGAGAAGAACAAGAAGAACCAGAGCGCTCTGGACCTGCTGCACGCCAAGACCCTCTCCGCAGCGCCCCCTCAGGGTAGGCCCGTCTCCATAGTAACGCTCTCAACTAGGTACCGATACTCAGGGAAATATTCGATACTAGATACCATTTTGATACCACAAGGATAAAAACAAAGACCCCAAAAATTTAGCTGAGTTTTGACAGGTTAGTGTCTTTGGTTTCAAACTAATCTGTTACTGATGTTATGGTGGCCCACATTAATGACCCTAACCCTGACTCTAACTGGTTAAATTTGTTTGGACTTATTGTACAAACCTATTTAACATCCACTATTTTAACATATTATGTATACAGTTGAATTCAGTGTTTGCAAGATTAATTTCACTATTTTTAAATGAATGTCTATATTGCCATATATTCTTGCCTGGGATCTTCCTATTGGTGACCTAATCAAAATGGCCGACTTGGATGTGGGGGAGTTGGATATCCATCCTTGGCTTCCTGCAGCCAGATTGATTAATGTTGGCGTGTTATTACTAGCAATTCAAGGCTAACGTCACGTTAACGATCACAAACAACGTAAATAAATACTTTTAAAAATGAGTATCGTATCCATGAGGCATTAAATGTCTCTGAACATAACCTTTTTTTTTTTTGTGGTGGTGTTTACAGATGCTTACCGGCCACCTCAGAGTCCTTTCTACCAGCTACCTCCGAAGGTCCAGCACTATTCGCCTAGTCAACTGCTGCTGAGCCCGACTCCTCCCGGTCTGCAACAGCTGCTCGGTAAGCCAGCCATGATCAGCCTTTTGTTTGATTTTGTGGATTTATTTTAAATATTCCACAGCCAAAGTGGTCAGATGTCACATTTAAGTACTAAAGACTTTATTTCTTATACCTTTTTTTTTTGACAAAACATAAAAAAATCATCCTTATTCTGCTAGTCTGGGTTTTCCTAAAGGGGAAAGTGGTTGTTAGATTTCATAAGTTGTGTCACTTGTTTTTGTTTTCTGTGTTATAAGAAGCTAACTTCAAATTTTTTTGGACGAAACATTAAAAAATACATCCTTATTCTGCTAGTCTGGGCTTTCCTAAAGGGGAAAGTGGTTGTTAGATTTCATAAGTTGTGTCACTTGTTTTTGTTTTCTGTGTTATAAGAAGCTAAGTTCAGCTCTGTAAGCGTTCCTATAAAGTCACAGGTCTTAGAGGATGTTTAGACTCCATTTTGTCTGCCATCATGTAGCATAAACGTTTGTTTTTTTCCCTAACAAACCCACCTCTTATTCTCTTTTTCCCCCCACATTTTCCAGACAACATCAAAGTCCAGTACCTCCAGTTCATGGCCTACATGAAGACTCCTCAGTACCGCTCCGGCCTGCAGCAGCTTTTAGAGCAGGAGAAGGTGATAACAGATAGGGAGTCTGTGGTTTATACATAAAAACTATATACAGTAATCCCTCGTTTATCGCGGGGGTTACGTTCCGAAAATGACCCGCGATAAGTGAAATCCGCGAAATAGAAAACTTTTTTTTTTTTTTACAATTAGCAACTATTACATGTATACAAATACTCACGAGTAGTGTCGGTCCAGGCCGTTTCGTCGACATTATGGGTTTAGGAGATGTTCGAAATTACAAGATAATTTGGCCAACTTAATGTAAATTTGCTAAGCTGTTTTATGTACGTACACATAACTGCACGAGACGACAAAATGATATCACAATTCGTAGCATGTTTTGATACAAGAAGCGGGAGTGAGTTTTTAGCGAATCAGAATGCAGAGCACAATGCACCCAAAAAAAAAAAAAATGCATTATGAAAATCCGCGAAATAGCGAATCCGCGATAAGTGAACCGCGAAGTGGCGAGGGATCACTGTAATATAAAACTATATAAAGCCTGTCTTTAGTGCTTGAATGTGACATCTGACCTCCCGTCCTCCTCTGTTTCCTCCAGCAAAAACACAGAGACCTGTCGGGGCAGGCGGAGCAGCTCCACTCGGTCTGTCAGTCACACAAGGACAGGATCAAAGGTCTCTTTCAGACCAAGCTGGATGAGGTACAAAGTGCTTCCTTTATTGTGTTCACGTGGCCAGAAATGGTGGTCAAATGTCATTTGAACTGTCTGTTTTGTCACCTCCGTCACATTCAGATAATTCTTTAAAGTTTAGTTTTAACTCGGAACAAACCTGTGACTTTATTCCGAGTACTCTGGCTACTTTTTGCAATAACTCAGTGCAATATACAGTGGGGGAAATAAGTATTTGACCCCTTGCTGATTTTGCAGGTTTGTCCACTTATAAAGAATGCAACGATCTATAACTTTAATCGTATGTACATTCTAACAGTGAAAGACAGAATCCCAAAGAAAATTCCACAAAATCACATCATATGAATTTATAAAAATTGATAACCATCTGATGAGGAAAAATAAGAATTCTTTGTAAGTGGGCAAACCTGCTAAATCAGCAAGGGGTCAAATACTTATTTATCCCACTGTATGTGTATATATATACTTCTTTACCCCGCATATAGCTAGCTCTTAGTTATAAAAAACATATTTATTGTGTAGGAATAAGGTCTTAGCTCTGTTACACTGGTAGCCAAGTAACGACATTTCGTTGTCAAGATTCACCGTGTGTTTTTTGTGCAATGACAATAAAGGAAGTCTGAGTCTACATGTGACAAATGCCATGTAGAGCTCTGAGATGCAGGACTTGTCAGGCTAACTATGATTCTGAAGAAGGAGGGGTTGTTGTTATCAGTAAAAAGCAGCACAGGACAGTTTCATCGCATTTTTGAGCTGGCGTCAATAACATAAAACAGTCTGAGAGACGCTAACATCACAAAAGCCTTTGTTAGCTTACAGCGGCTAACAGCAGCTAGCATTAGCTGTTAAGAGAGCAGATAATTGTCACCTCTCTCTTTTTTTTCCTTTTTTTTTTTTAAACAATTTTTTTCTTTTTTCAAAGATAATACAGTGTGGTACGAATGTACATATGTATTTCTACACTTTTAAACAGAAAAAACAGAACACAAACAACAGGGTGATTTCAAGAAAATGAAAGGTAAAAGTTCCAGACTTTGAGAGTTGGAAAAAAAAAAGAAACAATAAAAAAAAAACATAATTGCATTATTAGTGGTACAACAGGTCTCCAACATTTTCTCCTTTTTTTTAATGGAAACAATTCATCTGTATTTACAACTTCTCATCATGTGGCCGTATTAATTTGACTCCTGTCCAAATATCATGTAATTATACTCTGAATACACAGTTTTTATCTGTTTTTATCACTGTGTCTGTGTGTGTGAACAGCTAGGAGTAAAGGCCCTGACCGTTGAAGACCTCCTTCAGGCCCAGAAGGAGATATCGGCCCACAACCGGCAGCTGAAGGAGCAGACTAAGCAGCTGGAGAGAGACATGGCTCTGCTCAGAGACCACAGCCTGCTCCTGGTGCGAGCCTTTAGTCTTTGTTGTGACTTCCACTCTGTTATTACGGCATCTTTCCCAGACCTTCCATTACCTCTGTTTGGGCTTCGCGTGCTGATTAAAGCGGCAGGCCGGGC